TTTTTTTTTTTTTTTTTCTAGTTACACAAAAAACATTCATGTCCTTATTTCTCTGATCCTAAAAAGGTCTTGGGGTCTTACAAGTATGAACTGTGAGTGATTTATCCTTGCTACCTGTTATGCTTAGGTCATATATTTCTGGTATCTTATCAAAAAGTTGAACCTATAAAAATATCCATCATACTATGTTTTGATTATACCATGCTTTGATTCCAGATCAACATAATTATTTTATGTCCCCTCCTGTACTGGGAACAATATAATATAAATCATAAGCGGTCATAGCAAGAACTGCCTTATGCTCAGACCCATCAGAGGAACCTAGAAGCTTGGAGATTTGCTGTATTTATTCGGACTAAAAGAGCAACTCAGGTATTACAGATTTAATGGATAGGTCCAGTAACAAATCATAGAAACAACAAAAAGCAAAAACCTGAAGACGGGACCCATGTCCTGGGGAGCTTAGTTACATTCTCTGAAGTTAGATGCTTCACGTTTCTGGGCATTTTCTGCTGGAAGGACCAACTCTTAGGTTCTCCCAGCGTCTGCTGGGCTCTAAGTGCCTTATCTAGGGGACAATTTCATGTTCAAGGATCTTATGAGTGCTCTACAGGTATGCTCCCACCTACCTGGGAGGCAGGCAGAAGCGGGCTCTGTCCCCGAGGCAGAGCATTGAAGGCACCAAGAGGTGCGTGGGAAGGTTCAAGGCCACTCAGGGAATGAGTCATCACAGAGGCAGGAACAGAAGCCAGATCTTTGGACCCCGGTCCACGCTCTATCAGAGAACGTCATGCTAATGAAAGCTGAAGGGACACGGGCTGGAGAGAGCGCTACACTTCTACACGAGGGCTTGAGCGGGATCTGTCATTCGTAAAGATGATCTTTCCTCCTTTGACTTGTGTCTGGGTGACCATTTAAAAACCAGCGGAAAGGTAGAAACCCAGTTCGTTACAACTGCCTCTCCTCCCATGCCCGGAAGTGTGACACAGAGGGGTCTATGTATTATCAGGAGAAACCGCCACCTCGCACGATGGGCGAAGGCCTTCATGGGACTTACATGCCGTGTCTCAGCACGTGCCTTTCCCACTCAGAGCCCTGGGAAAACGCCCGTCCGCAAAATTCACATGGAAAACGCTTCTCAGTGTTGATAGCAGCCCCACGGTCAGAAAATCTCATCAGATCTGTGAGGAGAAAGCAGAGGTGTTACCTGTGTGCCGGGGAGCGGGCAGAAGTCAACATCCACTAGGAAACCTCCTCTCCTACCTTCCCTCCCAAAGCCATTCAGTGAAACCAATTTCCAGATTCCTTACTCTTTCTCCTACTGGCTTTTCACCGAACGATATTTCTTGAAACTCTCTCAAGAACTGTCCCTGTGGTTCCCGAGCCCCAGGTGTCCTCACCTCCCAGTGGCTTCCATCACAAATAACCTGGGTCTGTCTTGCCTGAAGAACCCCTTCTGTCCATTCCAATGGCATCTGAGCATTTTTTTCCCTATCAAATCTCTCCCTTCTGTGATGCTCTGTTATCAGTGCCTCAAGTTTAGCATGTATTCATTTTCTATTTGACACAAGTTTATCTCCTCTCACTAAAAAAGCACCAGGTCAGGAAAAGCGTGGTTAAGACCTCAAGGCTTCGACACAATCCAAGGAAGGCTGAGGACTCACGACTGGTGATCATCTGCCATGGATATCAGAATCAACACCTCCCAGGGTGACTGCGAGCACTGAATGAGACCTGTAAGCAAAGAACCTAGCAGGAGTGAGTCCCGGGCATCAGGGAGGCTGGAATGTGAAAGCGTGTCCTCAGCTAGTAAGGGCTCCTGGCCAGCTGCCCGGCACCTATGCCTCAATCAGTATGTGTGTGTGTGTGTGTGTGTATATATATATATATATATATATATATTTGGCGAGGGGGGGGGGGCGCCGTGTTGGGTCTTTGTTGCCGCATAGAGGCTTTCTCTAGTTGTGGCGAGCAGGGGCTACTCTTCGTTGCAGTGCGCGGGCTTCTCATTGCAGAGCACAGGCTCTAGGCGTATGGGCTTCAGTAGGTGCGGTGCACGGGCTTCAGTAGTTGTGGCTCGCGGGCTCTAGAGCACAGTCTGAGTAGTTGTGGTGCACGGGCTTAGTTGCTCCGCGGCATGTGGGAATCTTCCCAGACCAGGGCTCGAACCTGTGTCCCCTGCGTTGGCAGGCAGATTCTTAACCGCTGAGCCACCAGAGAAGTCCAATTGGTGTATTCTTGAACATGGGGATATGCACACACTTCTGGATAGCTCTGTTGTTAATATCAAATGTTGACTGTCGTTTTATTTCCTCCACGGCCCTGGGCACACGTGAGTGGTCTGATAAACGTGGACTGGCTGGCTAATTGTTTACAGGCCACGCCTCCTGGCAAACTCAAAGATGAGGGCTTATATGGCCTTTGTGTTATCCTGAGTCCCAAGCCCATATGTCTTTGATTATACCAGAGGGCCAAATCTTTACGTGCATAATAAATAGCAGGACCTAGACGGCTCTGCAGCCACGCTGCAAAGTGAGGGCAGCACACAGGGAAATGTTGATCATCTCTGCGTATCTGATCGCTGTGTGTCTGTACCTACAAGATGTTACAGGAGGATGTCTCCTGGTTGAAACGCTCCGTCTGATAAAAATGCTCAGGATGACGTTAACAGGCTAGGTGTCTCTACGCTGCCTTCACCTTCAGCACAAAAAGCTCTGTGAATGGGGCCAGTTTTAACAAAAGATGAAACATTTTCTCACAAATTAAGAAGATCACCACACAAGCCATTAAAAATAATTGCACAGACTACCTTCCTTGATTCTTTTCATTGGAAATGAGACAGCACCATCTGCCCTGCGCATTAATTCCTTAGCAGGGATTATCTTGGGCAAGAAATCAGCAGAATGCCTTCCTAACTCCTCCCAGCTGCATAATGAGAGGGGGTGGGGAGGGTCCTGCTTGGGTTCATGTTGATTTCTTCACGCCTGGTTTCTTCTCTTTCAGATTCCCTCTGAGCTGCCTTCTGAGGCAGGACCTGCAATGTGGCCACAGTCAGTCCCCTCCCTGGTTCTCGTGCTGGGAAAGGACGCTGGGAACGGGGTGGCTCCAAGGACGTGAGCCCCCTGAACTGAGCGCCCGATGAGCACCTACACTGCCAACGCGGGGCCTGCCCCTGGCACACGCACTCGCTTACCCTTAGGAAACATGAAACCAGCCACCTATTCTTTCCAAGGGCTCATGCTGTTTCATCCTCAAAGGAGGAGGCCAGTCATTACCTGTCACACATCAAATGGCTCTCCATTAGCCCCAAGAGCTGTGCTAAAGCCACCTCCCGCTCTCTACTCCTGGAAGACAGAACGTCTGGCAAAAACACCCCGAGGCTATTGTGTGCCGGTTCTTCTGGTTGGCAAGAATACACCTGATGGTGGAAAATTGATTCAAAGGCAATGAGACAAAGGAGGCTGTTCTTTCAAGGATCCGGCGAGGGGTACGGGAAGGTTTTGGCTAGTAATTCCCATTAGCGTTACTAGAAGTGACTCATGTAATTCCCCCACCCGCTGAGAGAGGAATACAGGCTTCTCCACCCCAAGATGTTTTTCCCCATGCTGTTAAGGCTCATGAATGTGGATGCTAAACTTTCCAGGGACAGGCGATCAGACGCCATGAAGTTCTTTGCAGGCAAACAGAGCTGGTCTGATGCCACAGTGCCCGTGCGAGGGGGCGGCCAGGCTGGGCAAGCAAGGGAGCGTGCCTGGTGCTCTCACAGCTATAACTGCCATTTATCCTAGAGGCGTCACGGGGGAGGAGGGGACTAAAAGAGGTTCTTGCCTCTGCAGTACTTAGAACCTGTAAAATCACGTGTGCTCGGCTCTAGAGATTCAAAAGTCATGGTACCCAGTGAGGAATAATTCATTTCCTGGAGCGGAACGGTAGGGCACCGAGCACCATGAAGAAAAGGAGCCTGTGTACCCTCTGTCACAAGCACCCTCTTCCAGAGAACTCTGGAAACAGTGCACAGACGTTAAAGAATTCATCACTAAGAACATATCTGTGAAATGCTAAAAGTAAATAAAGGAAAAGAAAATTTAAAAACCATGCTTCTCAGATCACAGCCATTTTCCTTGTAAGAAACAGATCACTACAGCCCCTACTAATAAAAGTTGTAACATGACAAGGGCAATCAGTCTATATGGTGTGGGTGTTCTATTTATCCATTTACCATGGGCATGGGGGTTCAGGAGCCAAACTGGATCCCCACTCAGCGAATCTGTGGTCTCCTACTATGGCAGAGGTAAAAGATGGTGGGTGAGGGGATGGGGCTGGAAGTCAGGGCAAGTCAGGAAGAACAGGGAGAACCGCAGGGGGAACGGCCACCAAGTCGGCTTCCTTAGGCTTGCAGACTGACCAAGCAAGAAAAACCAAGAAATTCCGCAAAAGTGCCCCTTAGAGTGAGGCCCTAAGGGCCACTGGACTGACAGAATTCAGGGGCAGGTTCCCTTCAATGAGGAACACCCCGCTGTCCAAAGGGTAGGGGAGATGGTGTGTAGCGTAAAAGATGTTTTGCCTTTGGAGCCAGAAGACTTAGACTCAACCTCCAGTGGTTTTTTTTTTTTTTTGGTTTTTTTTTAAAACTTTGAACAAGCTCTTAAGTACCCCGGGCCTTTGTTTCCCCATTTGTAAAAATGGCAATAATACCATCTACATTGCAGGGTTTTATCATTATTATTAGCTGGTTACTATGTTCTAGGAACTAGACTAACGTTTGTGTGCTATCTCATTTAAGATTTACACAACCCTAGGAAGTGACACTGTTATTATTAGGATGATGAATGCATAAAGAGATAAAATAATTTACCCAAAGTCATATAACCAACAAGCGCGACTGGGAGCCAAATCCAGGCAGACCAACTGCAGAGCCTCTAACATTATGTAAGGTTAAGGAAAAAAGGTATAAAACCCACCAGCACTGGGCCTGGCACATCATGATGCTCAGTAATGGCAACTAGTACCATTCTTCTCATCACTGGGATGATGTCTATCACATTTATTTCTCAGGTCTACGTTATCCATGTGCTTTTGATAAATCTGCAACAACTAAAGTAAGATATCCCGGGCTTCCCTGGTGGCACAGCGGTTGAGAGTCCGCCTGCCGATGCAGGGGACATGGGTTCGTGCCCCGGTCCGGGAGGATCCCACATGCCGTGGAGCGGCTGGACCCGTGAGCCACGGCCACTGAGCCTGCTCATCCAGAGCCTGCGCTCCGCAGCGGGAGAGGCCGCAACGGTGAGAGGCCCTTGTACCGAAAAATAAAAAAATAAAAAAAAAAATAAAAAAAAAATAAAGTAAGATATCCCAACCTATATTCTTTACGTAGAGTCTTGGGTTTTCCACAAGATTCTATGTTGAGCAATACAGAATACCAACTCTAGATCATGTAAACGTATGTCTACCACTAAATATACTTTGAAAAACTTCACTTTGAAAATAATGATAGACTCGCAGAAACTCATACAAAAATACCACAAAACCTTTCCCTGCAAACACAGCCAAATAAAAGCCCCTGGTCTCTCTCTTTACAAAGCAAAAGCAGTAGCAAGGGGGGTATGAGGAGGATGGTGCAGAAGGACACATGGAGAGAGCTCAAGCCCCCTGCAGCTCCCCCCAGCCCAGCAGTGCGCGCCCCAGCAGAAGCAATTTTAAATAAGCGTTCCACTGGAAGCTCATTTACATTCCTCAGTAGCTTTTACAGGACCATCCATCTTGCTGTCTGTCCTTATTCTGCAGATTCCCAAGATACCAGTTTTCCTGAATAAAAAACCAATCATCGCCACGTATTTTTTTTACCGAATGTATTTCCTGGGAGTTTCTAGAGCCGGTACTAGTTTACAAGACACAGCCCCTGGTGTGTTTCTTAAGTCAGTCCATTCCTTCTGGTGCCCCTATAACAACCTTCTGCCTCCCGCTGTATCTCAGCACGGCCGGGCTGGGTGCCAGCTGGGGCTCAGGGGGCGGAGGGGGACCTACCTCTGCCGTCAGCCTTGCTGTTCATTTCTTCTTCCTTGTCCTCCTCGTCACTGCTGGAGCTCTCCATCTTCTCCTTCATCTGTTCCAGCTGATCCAAGTTAACTCGTCCAACCAGCTCAAAGTTACGGCTTACCTGAAACAGACCCAAACAGACAGTGGAATCACAAACCACGACTGAATGCGGTTCTCCCTGGAGGACAGAACTTCCCGCCGTCATTTACCTGTGGGTGTGCTTTTAGAGCCAGGACCAAATAACCCCAGTGCCTAAGAGGTCCTTTCTTCTCTCTCAGAGGTGTACCTGCCGTTTACTTCCACATTCATTTTCACCGGAAGTGTCAACACCGGACCTTCCTTACCGAATTCAGTAAGAAACGTGAGCTACCGTCAGCAGAAAATCAAAAGCATCGTGAAGCCCGGGGTGTGGAACAGGTGTCCAATAAACATTTTTGGAGTTGAATTCAAGGATGTACCTTCTGTAAACTACCCCAATTGTGGTTTCCTTCCCCTTTCTGGGAATGGGGCCTTTTCTGATTTTGGCTTTTGGAAACACGTCTAAGAAGTGTCATACACGCGTATTTATGAAGTTACGTTTCTGGAGGTGAGGTGACTCTGTAAGTAACTTGAAGACTAGCGGAGTCACAACATTTCCACCTCGAGCCTATCAAGCTGGAGGCCTATGGGCTGTCCTAGCTTTGACCAAATGACAGCTGTTCGATTCCTAACTCCAGTTTAGATGTAAGACAATAACATTGGTACTGTTTAGTGTTACTACTGTTTCTGAAGCTGACCACAGCCTACTCATCACAGCTGGGGATTATCTGAGAAAAATCTAGATGACAAATCCCTAAAAACCCTTTTAAAGTGTTAACGATGGCTGATTTTTGTTTACATAAAACGTGGTTAGGATAATGCGGGAATCCAAACTGTCTTCTAAGTATCATCCAAGAGAAATAAAAATCCACCCTGAGAAAACTCTGTAAGGATGTTCTGTTTGGGGTTCTCATGTCAATGGCAGCACAAAATGCAACCTCTTCAATTAATCTATTGCCAGAATTTCTTCAGTTGCATGGGTAGAATTATCAGCAAGGACAGCACAGGAGTCTAGCCAATAAAATGGCTCAAACCAATACAGTGATGGGTTCCGTGCTTCCCCTGTGGGGACCAGGGAAGGGGCCCATGGAGATAAATAAGACCCGGTTCTGGCCTCCGGAGGCTCAGAGTTTAGTTGAGGAGGGAAGACAGACTTCATTAATGAGACTCCAAGGCAGATTTCCATAGCTGCTACAGGACAGGGAGAGAGAGTAATGAGGGCGCAGGAGAGGACAGGGAGAATTTACAAGACAGTTCCAAAATATTCCCTGGGACCAGCCTGGAACAAAGATGTGCTGAGCACCACCAATTCCATATGCCTGGCAGATGGAAACATCATCATCAACTGTGACAAATGCGAGAGAAAGAGCCTCAGAGCATCAGGGCCAACAGACAGTGCTGTGAAAAAGCTTAACACCGCCCCCATCACATCATGTTGGGGGTCGGCCGCGTTGAAAAGGAGCAAGAACCCTCGGGATGAAAGCTCTCTTAAAGCAAGAGAAACAATCCACTGAATGAAATCCATGAAATCAGTTGACTTGGAAAACAACTCAGCATGAGGGTGGAAAAGACCTCTTCGTCACTCTCAGCACTACACCCTCAGAGAAGGCAAATCCCTGTTTTGCTCATGAAAAAAAGTTTTAAAAATGAATAGACTAAGGCGAAGAGGAGGAAGTCAAGTTGGAATCTTTCTTCCTCTCTGAGTTCACAGTATCAGCCGGCAAAGGACTTTTGAACAAAGTACCTTCCCAATTAGGGCTTCATCTATTTACTATCCTCACTCCTACCGACCTATATAGATTTTTAAAAATTTGTAACACAGACCTGAGCACAAGTTTCGGGTTCGCCGTGAACCATGAGACTCCGGGCAAATTACTGAACATAAATGTCCTCAGTGTCCTTGTTTGTAAAAGGGGGCCAGCATAGTATCCAAAACACAATAAATAGTTCACCAAATTGTGGTTTCCTTCCCCTTTCTGGGAATGTGGCCTTTTCCGATTTTGGCTTTTGGAAACATGTATAAGTATCGTAAGTGCATATTTATGAAGTTATGTTTCACCACAAAGTCTACATTTTAATCAAATAGCATTTATGACAAAGATGTGAATAAAAGTTTTCTGGGTTGCCAGTTTTTTTCAGGAAAAGGAGGCAAGATTCCAACTGGCCTAATTTCAAAATATGCAAAGAAACAATATTTTGAAATGATCAGTACTTTTAAAAGGCAGCCTCTTCCAATAGCTTTCTCCCTGCTTCAGCCAGGGCAACTATAAGCATGTAGAAGGGGCAGGAGAGGTGGGCACTGCCAGCAAACCAAAAAAAAAGAAACCAAGAAAGACCAAAAAACAATCCTCAAACATCTTTAATCCAGCAGTTTGCATTCATTCATTCATTCAGGACTCCCAGGGGCCCTGCTGTATGCCAGGCCCTGTGCCTATCAAGGAACTCACAGTGACAGAAGGAGATCTGTCACCAAACCAAATGTTATTTTTTCTTTTCCTCCTTCCTGTTTCTTTTCCTTTTACAGGAAAACTGTTAGCATTTTGGATTCTGCACAATTTTATGAGTACATGACATTTTCATGGTATAACGTTCACCGGGGGCTCACCGAGGATTTATTTGTCCTGAAGATTTCTAAAATCTTTGTTTAAAAATAAAAATGAAAAATTTTGCTATGTAATTAGAGGATTTTAAATTAAAAACTCTTTATAGGGTTGAGTTCTTACTATACTTTAAATCTCCAAACCAGCAATCCAGGGTTAATCTTCATACAAAAGGAAGACTCCTTGCTGCACTTCTGAGCCACCGTCTCTTTCCTGTATTATTGCAAGCCCCTTCCCTCCCTCCCTGCTGACTTCCCAGCGTCCATTCTCACCACCTCTTGCATCTAACCTCCAGGGTGGTCTGACAGAGTGATTTTTTTTTTTAAAAATTAAATCTGCTCATGTCAGACTCCACTTGCCCTGAGGATGAAACCCCAATTTCTTACTGGGCTTTACATGTCCCCCCGACTATCATCTTACCCCTTGGCCCACCCTGCCCTCACACTGACTGCCCTTTGCTCCCACCGCCCTCAGCTTATTGAGGTCCCTGGAACAGGCCAAGCTCTTGACTTTGTGCCTCTCTCTGCAGAGGCTATGTCCTCTGTGTGAAATTCTCTCAAGCCTGCCTCGCTCACATGGTGTCTCCTCAGCCTTCCAGCATCGCTCCAATGTCACTGTATCTGGGGGACCTTCCCTCAACACCTCCTGGGTTAAACTTCCTTGCTCTAGGCTTCCACAGCACCCTCCCCTCCCCTTTCATAACTCAGTGACTGTACAGCCCAGGGGACTAGATTCAATACCTTGTAATAACCTATATATGTATGTAGAACTGAATCACTTTGCTGTACATCCAAAACTAACAAACACTGTAAATCAACAATGGTGCGATTAAAAAAACCCTCAGAAATTAACTGTTTCTGGCCTGCCTCCCCAACAGAACTGCAAACTCCATGAAGACAAACACCCTGCAGCTTATTCACAGCCAGATCTGCACTGGCCAGCGCAGTGTCCAGATTAGAGCAGGCACGGTTCTCACCTCTTGGATACTGGGTGTCTGCATTTTCATTTATTATATTTTTCTGTACTATAAATGTTTACAAAGAAAAACTAGAAAACAGAAAAAACTCATTTAAAATCCAACGACCTACATGAAGAACCTAGGGGTAAGACGGGAATAAAGACACAGACCTACTAGAGCATGGACTTGAGGATATGGGGAGGGGGAAGGGTAAGCTGTGACGAAGTGAGAGAGTGGCATGGACATATATACACTACCAAACGTAAAATAGACAGCTAGTGGGAAGCAGCCGCATAGCACAGGGAGATCAGCTAGGTGGTTTGTGAGCACCTAGAGGAGTGGGATAGGGAGGGTGGGAGGGAGGGAGACGCAAGAGGGAAGAGATATGGGAACATATGTATATGTATAACTGATTCACTTTGTTATAAGGGGCTCACCGAGGATTTATTTGTCCTGAAGATTTCTAAAATCTTTGTTTAAAAATAAAAATGAAAAATTTTGCTATGTAATTAGAGGATTTTAAATTAAAAACTCTTTATAGGGTTGAGTTCTTACTATACTTTAAATCTCCAAACCAGCAATCCAGGGTTAATCTTCATACAAAAGGAAGACTCCTTGCTGCACTTCTGAGCCACCGTCTCTTTCCTGTATTATTGCAAGCCCCTTCCCTCCCTCCCTGCTGACTTCCCAGCGTCCATTCTCACCACCTCTTGCATCTAACCTCCAGGGTGGTCTGACAGAGTGATTTTTTTTTTTAAAAATTAAATCTGCTCATGTCAGACTCCACTTGCCCTGAGGATGAAACCCCAATTTCTTACTGGGCTTTACATGTCCCCCCGACTATCATCTTACCCCTTGGCCCACCCTGCCCTCACACTGACTGCCCTTTGCTCCCACCGCCCTCAGCTTATTGAGGTCCCTGGAACAGGCCAAGCTCTTGACTTTGTGCCTCTCTCTGCAGAGGCTATGTCCTCTGTGTGAAATTCTCTCAAGCCTGCCTCGCTCACATGGTGTCTCCTCAGCCTTCCAGCATCGCTCCAATGTCACTGTATCTGGGGGACCTTCCCTCAACACCTCCTGGGTTAAACTTCCTTGCTCTAGGCTTCCACAGCACCCTCCCCTCCCCTTTCATAACTCAGTGACTGTACAGCCCAGGGGACTAGATTCAATACCTTGTAATAACCTATATATGTATGTAGAACTGAATCACTTTGCTGTACATCCAAAACTAACAAACACTGTAAATCAACAATGGTGCGATTAAAAAAACCCTCAGAAATTAACTGTTTCTGGCCTGCCTCCCCAACAGAACTGCAAACTCCATGAAGACAAACACCCTGCAGCTTATTCACAGCCAGATCTGCACTGGCCAGCGCAGTGTCCAGATTAGAGCAGGCACGGTTCTCACCTCTTGGATACTGGGTGTCTGCATTTTCATTTATTATATTTTTCTGTACTATAAATGTTTACAAAGAAAAACTAGAA